GTCAGACACTACCGCGCAACATGGGAACACTTTCCGAATGCATCACCAAAATCTCACACAAATATAAGTCAGATCTATGCTATACTTCCGGTATCAGCTGAGTATAGCAAATTTAAGGCTTTCAGCATAACCGCTTACATAAATGTTTATGGTGAGTAGAAAGAAAAAAAGAAAAAGATCACTTACCCCAGCATCTTCGTCTGCCTCGGTTTCCAAGAGAACGGCTCTCGAAAGACTGACCTCTGAAACAATAATATATTCTTTGTATACCGCTGAGTACCCCCTCCCCCCCGCTCGAATACTCCTTGACAAAAGTGATGCCCCCCTACGACAGGTTTGTCAATTACAACTCGTACAGAGTTCGTCAACGATGCTCTCGAGTGACGATGCAGGCTGATCGGTACACGGCAATTGTTCGCATTTTAGGATATCGTTGACGCACCCTGTAATGCTCCTAAAGCGTACGTTTCCTTAGCACAGCAGGGCTCTAAGTGCGTCTCTCTCGCACGCATACGGATTATTACACTTTTTCTACTACCTATAACTATACTACCTATAAATGTTTTGAAAAACTCACAAAAATGGTGTCTAGACCCTGTACCTGCTAAGCACTAATATTGAATTTAAAAAAAAACTATGAAGGTACAAACGATGGAACGCAGTGGAGATATACTAGAGACTATACTCTTTCGAAGGGGACTGATTGGAAAGAGGTACAAACGATACTTTCTTGAAGAACTTCAAAACTGGGTGTCTGAGCGTTGTACATGCTACGCACTTAACTAGAATTTCTATAGTTCCTGATAGGTTTTAACAATAGTTCTGCTACGTAACATCGTTAAAATGGGAATTTTCCAAAAATTGAGGTGCTACATGGGTGTCAGCTCCAGCACTGCACTTTTTTAAAATCTCTTGAAAATGATTCAACAATAGGCTTTTTCAATAGCTCTCGAGGAGTTCTATAGTTCCAGATAGGTTTTAACAACAGTTCTGCTACGTAACATCGTTAAAATGCCTATTAAGGATACTAGTCGCACCATATGTTTCAGTGCAGGTATGCATAAGGAGCTGGCTTTCAGTGTTGTTTTCAGGTTGGGTTTCAAACAGTTCCGGAATAATTCTCTCTAGTACTCAATGTTGGGACCATAGTTCCGCTTGGAACTATTGTTAAATAATGATGGAAGCTAGCACCGCATCGCTGCACTCCTTAACACAGGCAGGCATGAGGTGCTGGCTTTTGGCTTAGTAAATCTTATCGAGCTTACACTGTACATTTGAATTTAAGTTTACAAAAAAAAATATTTAGGCAATATCTGATAAGCGGCCTCTTTCCAAGGGTTGCTCTGGGAATCAGTTGTAAGTTGTGGAGAATCTCTGCCTGCCAGGCTACCCGTTCGTGATCACGTTCAGCTCGGCTACGACGGGATATGCATTATCAACGGAGGCGATGATCACAAAATTCTATTCCCGGACTCGCCGCTACGATTTAGCGCCATGTTTTTGGTATCGCCTAAAACCGTAGCGTTGTGCATCTCCCTAATGATCTCTGTGAAATCAGAGATGTGAAATACATGGGGCTAGTTTTGTCATATAGATTTTCGTTTCTTTATTAATTTATATTATGGTTTTCAATTTCAAAATAACTGACACAAGTAATAGGTAGTACCCGTTTGCAGTATTAGATCTGATGGTGTATTTAAACGTTATAAGTTGATCTATGGTGTTTTTGGGAATTATTGAAAACCATAATTCTAAAGAATATTGAAAGAATGACGGAAATAAGGGACGACCCACGAGAAGTTCTTAGCCTCCTGAATTCATTGGGGTTTGTGGGAATCACGGCTCCACAGCTCAAAGCTTTTATGAAAGGTAACACGGTTTTTCTTTTATCTAACTACTGTCACCTGTAAGTGTAATTATGGTATTTTTTTTTGTTGGACTATTTATGCTAGAAGTCATATTCATTTGCGTCATACTAATCTACTATATTACACTCTTAATATTAACTTATATTTTACAAGATTTAAAGCTCTACAGAAAAATAAAAGAGCGAGAACGTCAACAATGGAAGGAGGAGACGAAGAGAAAAATATTAAGCAAACAACAAAAATTGTATAGAGAAATACTAGACAAAGAAGCAAGAGAAGCAGGATATGCCTTTGGTGAAAGCATTTTACAACCTTCAAAATCATCAGCATGTCAAGATACTGCAAAGATCAAGATTAAAGTACGTTGTGAACCTGAAGAAAAAGAACTTCATAAAACTGTAGAGAGGACACAAAAGTGCACGTTAGGTGAATCACATGAACCTCATATAAAAGAAGATACTCATACAAAAGAAGCGGTAGTACCTGACAGTGCTAATACTTCACCACAGTGGTTAGAAAAATCAAAGCAGCGTGCTGAACGATCAAGAAGCCGGTGCAAATCTCATCTTAAGAATCTACCATCTGATAATGTGCAATGGACCTCATCAGATTTATATAAGCAGCGGAATGCAAGACATGCAAATGATGCAAAGGAATCAGGCAAGGAAGAAATTCATAAAAGACCTGCCAGTGCTCCAGAATTGTCAAAACAGCCAAAGCATCTTCGATCAAGAAGTGCCGTATCTGATTCAGCTGCTGTGACTCATTTACCATCAATTCGACCACCATCAAAGAATTCTTCGCGAACTCAACATAAATCATGTCAGTTTTCAAAAAATAACTACTAAGCAATTATGATATTAACCAATATAGTTTAAACCTAATAGTACTATTATTCGTTTCTAGTTATAAGGCCTTGGCGACTACAGCCAGATAGTCAGAAATCTACGATTAGGGCTCACTCAGACCCTGTTAGTCTTTATCAAAAGTATCAACATGAGTGGAAGCAATTGGCACTACCTGGAGAAGAACATCATTCAGCTGTCCGATGGGCAGTTCGTGAGAAAATGCTTGGCTCAGATCCAAATCCCCGAGTAAGACTATATTGTATAAGAACGATTTTAATAATGTACAATATTTGTAATCCTTTTATTATAAATTTCAGCCTGTCCTACGAAAATCCTCTGGAAGTTTGACATCAAGAAAAAGATGATAGTTTAATTGATTTGCTCATACTATTATGGGCATCAAGATATTTTAATAAAATATTTTTTTCATACTAAGTTTCTTTATTCGATTGATTTATAACAACCAATTCATATGTTTCCTAATATTGACTGAGTCGGAATTTTCGTCCAGCTCTAGCAGCATCTGTTCTATTCATGTGGAACACTAATTTATCTTCTATTGCCTTTGCAGCACGTTCAGTCAAAACCAAAGTCTGATGTTTCAGCATACTGAAGACATTCAAGCCTGCAAAGTAAGAATATATGAATGAACAGATAATTATACAATTATAACTGATTGATCAATTAGAGTTCTATACATTTTAGGTACATACCATATACAGGCATCAAATTTACATGTTTAATTGTATCTGTAGCCATAGTTATGTTTTTTGGCATGATATCATAATCGTCAACGAACAGAACAGCTGGACCCCAATTTCTGGCATCAATTAAATCAATGATGTAAGCAGGATCATCCGTTGGAATTTCAAGTTCATTAACCAAATGCAGGTCGTCTTGTGCTAGCTTGACAGAAAGAGTTGAAGCAAGACCAGCAACACGAGTATAAAAGGGAAGCATGTAAAAATGAGGTGTAGGCGAACGAGGCCCATGAGCAATGCCACCACCTTTCCATAGAGGAGACCTTATACTTCCATGACGAGCTCGCCCTGTTCCTTTCTGTGGCCAAGGCTTGCGACCACCTCCCCTTACTTCAGCACGAGTTTTCGTATGGTCATAGCACTACAAGAAACCTACTTATAATAAACATCTTTACTAAAATAAAGGAATAGATTTAAACTATTCTTTACTTACAACATAGCGATACATGCGCTGCCACCTGGCATTCTCATGAATAATATCTATACGAGGCTGTGCCCCATACACTTCAGGATGAAGATAAACTAAACCTAATTTCTTTGCATCAACTGTGTCAAGATTCTCCAGCCAAACTTCTCGACGTTTTAAATATAACCGATCCTCATCTATGTAGCTTCTCTTTGAGATAATCGGTGTCACTTCCTGATTTTCTGTTGATTGACTTTGAACCGCTGTACTGAACTTTGCCAAGCGACATTGACACCCATGGAACTTTCCGACAATATTTCGAAGAATCAACGACATTGCTCTGTAAAAACAAAATCAACTTCTTTATAACCTCACAGTGAGGTTACAAATGTGTGGAGATAGAAATCGAGCAAAGTAAGAGAACCAGGCTTACCAACAACACCCCGTTTAATAGCGAAGCTAATTCAGATTTACTATTGGCTGTCAAGGCTTAGGGCTATGTGCTGTGAAATAAAACAGACTATTTTGCCGCCAATATTAGAGGACAATCAGAGCGAAGTGTTTTCCCGTGGCTTCCTTATAATTATCGTTGGAATCAGATTGAAAGACATAAAAGATGTTTGGTAGAAGAGGCGTGGAACTCGTTAAAGAGCTCGACCAGTCACTCGACAGCATTCCGCCTTTTAATGTAAGTGCTACAACATTATAACCTTGCACCTAAACAAATATTTTGTATTTATCCAATATGATAATTAACGTTCTTACCATTTACAGGAGGAATTAATTACTGAAATACTCGAGGAGATGCAAAGACTTTACAATGAGAATAGGATTGACGTGTGCGTATTTAGAGTTATCGTCCCATTATATATGTCGCCCAGGAGCTATTGTTAGAAAAAGGCCCTTTTTTATTGGTAATGGCGTCGATGGAATTCCAGGTGTTTACCGATGACTTAAATTATTAAGGCTTCTGCTTTGGTCGGAACCCGACAGCATGAGCGCTAAATTGTTTTAAAAGTAGCTCCTAGGCTATTCATATCAACGATGATATATATTTAACCCGGCGCTGGCCACCCTGGGGTAATAAATTACCCCCGTGTCCAATTTTGTATGTCACTAAAATATCGAGACATTATAATACCGTGTCCAGCAAAAGACGACATAATTTGAATAAATTGAACGACATAATAAATGAATAGTATGAACTTCACTTAAGTTATAATAAAAAGGACTAGAAATATATTTACATTTATTGAGAAATGGAACATAAAAATTCGAATTGGGGTATTTACTTACCCCATGAGACTAACGCTTTCTGAAAAGAGCTGGCGACTAGCGCCAGGTTAATGATAGAATGTTCGACTTTCATGAAAATTGAATTGCAGGAACACCAGGCCCGACGATCACGAAACTTATTTGTCCATAAAAGTTCGACACGCTGTACTGAAGAGGGATAAACGGTGTATCCTTGCGTATCTTTATAATCGTCTACGAAGAATTAGACAGATGCGATGGGAATTTGGTAGCATTCTACCGCCGGAAATCACAGTCTCGTTGTCAAAGCCGGAAGTCCAATGGTTTGATTCATACAGCAAGTGTTTGGCGACGTACATGAAGTCCATAGGCGATAACCATGGGTTAAATCTTACTTCGGACCTTGCGCCTCCCAAGTCTCTCTTTATAGAGGTAAAGTAAATTTGTTTCTGATATTTTAAAATGACATATAACAAGATTATTATCATCGCGTCCTTCCTCCGGAAGATTTCTATGAGGGATATTCAAATGTTGAAGGTTGCTTTTGACAACTTTGACATTTGATATTAACATACGCCGTCTATTATGACTATTGCCTGTGACCTACAATTTCAGGTCAAGTGCATAGCTGACTACGGCAAGTTCGAATTCGGCGACGGGGAGTCTGTGCAGCTAAAGAAAAATACATATCATTTACTGCCAAGAAGTGAATGTGAGCAGCTAGTAAGACAAGGTATTCTTGAGCACGTGACCACATAACCGCGTGAATCCTGGCACCCCCACTTCAAGGAGTCTGAGCCTAAACGCTTTCTCTCGGGATAACCAAATAAAAATGCTATGTCTCTTTAAGATGGCTGCGTCCTTCTCTCACCCCGTTCATTGACAGTCAACTGTAAGCGGCATTGCGAAAGAAAAGACCAAGAGACCAAGCGGGAGTCGCTCTCTGCGTGCAGATCTTTGTAACTCTTCGTTTGTGATCGATCGCCTGTCGTTTCTCTCCTTGCAAGTATCGTCCTGATTATTTTGTTTATTACCTCACTATATAAAATGAACGTGAATAACATTAGCAAAGGGCCTTCGCCTCTTGCTCCTTACTTCAGGGCCAATCGTGAGGAGCTCATTTAAAATTCGAGACCCCGCATATCGACTGCTTCATTAGGTATTTCCCGTACGGCTTTGAAGCCACAACTTCAGCGAGTGCCAAAGCAACAGGGATTTCCTAGGAGCAGCGTCCGCTATAGCAATATTCTACTGTGCAACTTACGGAGCGATGCATTTGCTCTTAGAAGGGGAAACCGTCCACATATTATCTATGGAGACATTTCTTACAGTGTTATCCAGAGTTATGAACTTTACTTCGCTCAGTGTTTCGCGCGTGTCCAATTAGTTTGTGGAAATGCTTTTCTCTGTGTTAACGCGAATTTTCGGAAGAGCCCTTCTACGGCTCGGTAAGTTACCTTTACATTCTCTGTAATATATAGGATTCTTCCACCAGGTGTAAACGACCAGTTCTCCTTTTTCCTTCAAATGCTTTTGTTTTCTAACGTTGCTGCCACCGTGCCACCGTCCTGTGGGTAATTCCTAGAAACTTGGTTAATACTTTTGGGTCTTGACAGCCAATATCCGCCAGCATTACCGCATAACAGGCACCAGTTCGCAACCAGCACTGCCATCATGATTCTCATTGAGTCATTGTACTTTCCCACAAAAAATTATGTGGCGCCAAGCCATCATCGAATATACCTATGGTAGCATATTAGGAACAATTTATTTAGAAAACCCCAGGTAGTTATAAATAACAAGTCTGTCATACGTTATCAATCTTTGTTCCACCGTAGCATTATAGCTTTTCTATTAATCGTTTGAAATCAGATCTGATTGATCTAGACGCAACCTCGAGCCATTCGTTCCAGATATTTACGACAGAAATTTGTTGGGCATTCCGCATATTGATATACCTCTGTGTATTACTATCAGTGGGACACATAGATATATCAAGCGGCTGCAATGTCAGCAGAATCTACGTGCAAAGTCTCCACTGATCCCGTGCATGTGATAATTTCGAGATAATGTATTTTGCACAGATATCTCACTTTGGTTTTCCCCACATAACTCACACAAGATACATAATGCATTGTAGAGACAGAGAACATGATGCTATTGATTTCGTGAGAGTATAAGAGTTAGGACATTTATTGGAGAACTTTATTGTTGTATATCCCATTTCTAAGTTTTTATTTATTATCATTTAATTATTCTACAAAATCAAAAAGTGTCTTATCAGAATCACATCACACGATATTCTTTAAGCATATTATTAAACACTTCAAATATCATGATATCTCTCATTGATAGTGACAACGTCGAATTTATATATTTCCTGAATATCTAGGTAAAGGGTAATCGATGAGTGCGTAATCACCAGAAGCCTAGGAGGAGACCTTGGGGAAAAACCACCCCGTTGGGTCTTCCCAAGGTTTGCCAAAAGAGACAAAATAAACGGAAACAATAAAATACCTGCGAAACAAGGCTCGCGTTGACCGCGACGGTCAACGATTGAGAAATATTTCCTAGGAGTTCTCGGGTATTGAACAGTAAAGGTAAATTTTGATGGACTTTTACATCGGGATTGTAAATATCGTCGGAAATACCAATCATAAAATCTTAACTACTCACGGGTATCCCTTTCTGTCTGGGGAATACTTGGTTACCTAGTTGCGTTTCATATTATTGCTCTAGAAGATAAGACGCGATATCACTCTCAAGACCCGAATAGCAATATAATAATCCTTTTGGAATTTCCAAAGAGTAATCAGCACTTCAAATTGTCGTTGAATGTCTTTTATGGAGGTCAGGAATCTAAAGTGCAGATACATCAACTTTGCCTATTGTTTCTCATTGTCGGACATTAGTCAGCTCCTTTCACAAATTAATACTCAAGTAGTTATTACTTACCGCAGCGGTAAGTATTTTTACCGTTTCACACAATTTACATATAGTTGATGAAAGCGGCAAGGCGCAATCATCCTGTACCTTCACGTATGGCAGATGTTTTATTGTCAAGTAGCGGTGCCGGACGATGTTAAGCTAATTACATAATTACCATTAATAAGGAAGTCCAGTCAACTAGGTAATTCTCAGAGTAAAGTGCATTAAAACGTAGGGGGAAATTATCATATACAATATATATACTCAGGTATTAAGATATTGTTATTGCGGAAATTTCCTTGCATGACACAAGACAGAAAACACAAATATAAGGAATAGATAATAGGAAATTGTTAAATGCTGGAGAGAAGGAAGAACGCGAAAATAAATATCATATATGTATATGAACTTAGTATTAAATACAGATTTCTCTTATAGTCAAAGATTCAGCAAGTTTCCATGGTACTGTTCGGTAGGATGTACGAGAAGAGAGAAAGAAATAAACGTTTACGGCAGGGTCGATCATAAGAGGATTAGTTGACCAAGAATTTCATTTTAGTGTATAATATAATCGCTATAGACCCGAGCCAGTGATGGTTAAGAAATGCTAACGGAGAAGTCTGGCTGATTGGCCGGTTGACCTGGGACGTTGTAGATGGGGTTTTCCCTTGTACGAGTTTGTTCATTTCTTGCCGCTAGAGGCGCCACCGTTCCTCGGTCAGCCATTACTAAGTTATTGCTGGTCCTGGTAGAAGCTTCGTCAGTTTGTACTGAAACGCCAGGCGGGTGTGTGAGCTCTCCTCGTATATCAAGGTCAGACTAAATAGAATTCTTTAATGTGGGATTGCCTTCCGATATTAACCTAAAACAATTGTGCGTGCTCGTAATACAGAAGGATACATAATTTTTCCGAGACAAATAAATAATCGTGAGTTGTGACGAAGAAAGGGAAACTATAAATGGTATTCTTGAAGTTCACTGCTACCTGATAGTCAGTTCGTCAGACAGCGAGTGAGTAACTGCTTTGTGAGAGTGACTAGTGGAGTGAATGCGAAGGGTTCGAAATAATTTGAACGAGCAAGGCGAATGAAGATACTACAATCCTACACTCGACCTATTCAATCTATTTAGTCATTCGTGAAGTAGATTCGGTAGAATATTTGTATACCTGAGGTGGAGGTTACCCAAACTTTAACAGTTATACACTTGGGAAACAAACGTCAGGAGCGAATGTTACTGGTCGAGAAAGCACGCTTTACACTCTACAGGTCCGCTTAGTGAGCCAATCAGTTAGCATGAGCAGCCTGGTAAACGTGAATGCTACGGTAACAAGTCCTCTTAACGTAAGTCTTGTGCAAATCGTCTTCACGTGATCTTTGAATATTTCATTGATTATCGCGGAAGCTTACGATAATAACTCGTGTTAAAAATAAATACTACCCGCCGGAAATAGCGAGTGCGCGTTCGGACGCGCGCGCCTTCATGCTGTGGCGGTGTTTTTTGTGATCACCGTGTTATTTCTTCGAAATCCTCGAGGTGAAGTAACCGTGGCAAAGGAATAGCGGAGAAAAATTACACGAGACGGTAGTGCTGGTGCTGGTGAAGAAAAGCAGTCAGGGTTACACTCATATAGTGATAAATGGCAGTGTAGGATTTCTTAGTAGGAAATCTTTTCGGAGATAATTATTGTTCATATTAGACAAGTGGTGTCCAGGTACCTAAAAGACAGCGAAGATGTGGCAGCCAGCATTAGATTCAATTGAGAGGAATGTTGTAGATAGCGGGGAGAAGTGTGAACGAGTGTTGGACTCCGGACATGTTGACTCTGGATTCCTCTCGGATGCGAACCTAGTAAGTTCGGAAATTAACTTGGAATTGGAGAAGCCGGAACTCAGGACACCTATCCTTGGGAAAGTTCAAGTTTCACCGCAACCCATGCGAGCTGACAGTGGAGTCGACGTGGGACTTAGTGAGAGCCTTGGTCAACTGACTATTAAACCAGGCACGACCAATTCTTTTGATAACAAGGTTCAGTTTGAACCTACTTTAGAACTCGCACCTGTCACGGCGAAAATCACTCGGTTACCTGAAACAAAACACCAACAGGAACAGCAACAGCTACAACAAGAAATTAGTCATCATAATCCTCATTATTATCATTACACCAGTCAGAATCAGCAACAACAAAAGCCTCATGTCCACCAAGATCAGCATCCGGAAAATACATCAAAGCAATTCCCGCAACAGCCATGGGAGTTGTACTATATGCAAGACGATGACGGGGACACGTAAGTCATCATTTATTTAAAAAAAAATTAATCGGCACGCAATGATTACCGTTGACTGTGTCAGTGAAAGTGGATAGATCAGCAAGGAGACATTGATAGTTGGTGAACGAAATAACAAATAGGTCTTGATGGCGATTGGTTACGCTGACAGTCGGCAAAACCCAAAGTAAGAGTCAGAGCGTATTGAGCATAGTGTGTGTAAAAAAAAGAAATTGATAGGTAACATCGATTGGCTAATTCGAACAATCGGTATTGCTCGTAAACATGTTAAATACGTTTTTCATTATTATTCTTTTTTTCGTTCGTTTGTTATCTAATAACCTACACGTTCACCAAATGCCAGTTGAAGCACGCATGCAGTCTCTGAAAAGTCATTACGCGAACACGACGAATTGGAACACTAGTAGAAATAGATAAAAAAACAACAGTCGCGATAACGCAGGCTAAGCACAGTATCATGACCTCGTTGGGTCAGTTTAAATAAAATTCAACTCAAATTAAATGATCCGTATACAGTGAACTTCATATATTTCGAGATGATTACGTCATATACATCACACATTATACTACGCGATCCAAAGTACTGTGAACGTTAGATGACTAATCCAGATATTTAACGTGCTGTTATGTATTTCAACAGGCAACTGCACATTGCAATCGTTCAAGGATTCCTCGAGGCAGCGCTCAGCTTGATCAGGATGGTGCCACATTCATGCCTACTGAATATGCTTAATGACGATGGTCAGTCGCCGTTGCATCTGGCGGTTCTGACGCATCAACCGATCATCGTGAGGCGCCTCATTCTCGCTGGAGCAAATCCTGCGCTGCGTAACTCCCGAGGGAACACGGCGCTGCACTTGGCCTGCGCGACGGGAGACATTTTGTGCGCCGATGCACTGACCAAGTCCGTAATGACTTCGGAGAGGAAATATCTGATCCCGAACAGACGGATGCCTGCGCTGCCCCAGAACCTGGAGCAACGTAACTACGACGGTGAGCTTATCATCTACTATTTTTTAATTTAATCGACTCGCTCGCGCCGATTAGGAAGTAATTAAATTAATGAAAGCGACGCAAAGAGTATGCTGAAGCGAATGGGGATTAGGTAGGGCGACCTCGATGGCTGATGTATCGTTCCGTACAGGTAATTCCGCAAGACTGTGTTGGATGGGAAGGAGGACTTTCCAGGTTGTGTGGTTCGACGACTAGATAGTCGCTGTATGGCTAGACGGGAAACACGCGATCGTCCACGCACATTGATGCCAACACGAGGAGGGACTCCTTTGTTGGCTGCAATTATTACCCGAAGGTTCCGGCCTTCGGATCTGACGACACAATATTTACACGCATCATCTCTCTTGCGCTAATTCTCTCTCGCCATTTTAATTTCGAATTTCGCTGGCGAAATACGAATTTTTAATAATCATTACTAGGATCAGAAGCGTAAAATCTCGCGGCACTGGGGGATTCCCAAACTATGACGAAATACCTTCTTTTATCATGCCGTGGCGCACTGTTACCGTAACATAGCTTTCAGCACGGTCACTATCTGGTGGCTAGTCTCTCTCTCTCTCTCTCTCTCTCAAGTTTTTTTGCATCTTTGTTCCTCGATTAAACCGCGCTATCTTATTGCCAAATATCGTGATAGAGAACATGTGATGCTGGTCAGGGTCGACAGTAACGACGTGCGGATGGACCGTTTTTTTCTTCTATCGCTTACATATCGAGGGATACTATTTTAAAGCAGTTCATATATTTTTATCGCGTTGACTCGCTACTCTCTTTTTTGCACTGTACAAATTCGAGCGCAGTCTAGCAGTTATATAGTTGAAGCTACGAAGAATTTTTGAGAAATGCACTGTTTCATTTTTAAGGCTGACCCCGTCCTCTATTCTTAGATTTCTTTAACCCGTTGCGGTTGTTGTTACTCGGAAACTTTGTGAAATCCCAAAGACCGGGAAAGTCCCAGATGGCAGTGTTGTCGGCGTTCTCATTATTTCCTTTTCATAGAAATTTCCATGACTTCAAAAGAACGTTACAAAGGATGTAAGGTCCTCATGACCAGTCGCCGCTTTGGCCTCGCGGCTACAGATATCCTCAATCTTTGCTTTCTGAATCTCCGAGTCCTTCCTGTTTGACTTATTACTCCCACTTCGTCTAGCACTGCGAAACTCTTGACTCTCCAGGGACCGGAGTCATTAATTTTGCCCACAGTAACGAATTCCCCAATTTTTAATGGGGAATTCCGCTTTTTCGTGGCATTTCTCTTGTCAAATGATATTTCAGTTGATTATGCGGGGTAAACCCTAACTCCCACCGGGCTTGATTCTCTTTGTCCTTTCCAAGGTGTCACTACCGCAATTGCAGCACATAGTAAGGTAGGCCTAGGTTTTGCTATAGGCTCAGCTCGCACCAGTCGAGTGATTGGCCTGGTAACGGTTCCAGAACAAGTAATTGGCAATGAATATTACGTTGGCCTGATAGCTTTGCGAGGTTGAGACAGATCATGGTTATTACGAACGGTTACTTTGGAAATTCTTGTCACATTTGATTAGTTCCTTTTCGACCGTGTTATCCCGGGACTCCACTTGCGCCAATAAAATACATGGTAATCAAATGCGTGCTCTCGGTAACCCATGTAAACTCACCATTCGCGAGATTGAAAAATGAAGGGAGGCGATGGAAATTTAAAAAATTCGTTCCAAAAGAAAGACGCTTGGCTCGAAGGCATATGGATTGTGAACAATAGAAATCCTTTAATGGTCAGATATAAATCAGTGGACCGAAGGTAACTCGCGCTGAACGAAAAAACAACTATCTCCTAACTCTAGAAACTGCTTTCAAAATTCAAATGATCGAATTTTGAAAATAATTAGCCCAGTCGGCAGATCGACTGAACTCATCCGACTCCCGTGTCCTATATCGAGTGACGAACAGCTTTCAGAATCTTGGAATTCCCATGTGGCGTCATCCTTGTGCATCGCCGTCCGTATGCCTTTACGTCTATTGCGAACGCCTATCTTTTTCTTTACGTTTGCTCTGTATGGAGCTCTGGCTGGGCTGGTGTGTGCGCGATTAAGTGGCGTAACCGGAGGCCATTCTGAAAATCATTGGAACGACTTCAGCTCGTCAAGTCACAAAGCAGATATACATATATATATATATATATTCAGTCAAGTAATTTGTAATTCCACTGTACTCAATATCGTTCCCAACGTAATTCGAATCCTCAGCTTTCCAGCTGCCATTGGAATTAATATACTCGCAATCTTCGCAAGCTGGCGGTTCACATATCTTGAGCATCCCGTTAATTAAGAATCCACTAAGTTTTCCTTCCTCCTGGGGACATCGTGCACCGACCCCCTTGACCTCTCGCTACGTCCCCACGAAAGTGCCCACTTCTCTCAATGGCTTCTCAATGTCACTGGGTCGGTCCAGGGCGCGTCCATCCCGTATAGGCAACGTCGCGTCACTCCTATGGCATCTATTCCAAAGGAATTCTACCGAGTGATTTATGTCGATCAAGCCCATCCCATCGCAGATAGTCAATCCTTCCTCATCCGGTATCCTAGGCTGCAAGAGTTTTTTAGTCTGGAACATTTCAGGCCGTTCGCCGTCGCCTCGAGGAAAATCCGGCACGATTTTTCTCTACTTTCCACTACAAAGGCTAACAGTAGTCGACCTCGATTTTACGGGCGGCCCCCGAACTCCTGCACCCTCATCGCATTCCCAACCCAACCGTCTCCAGCTCGATGCTGATCCGGCGAGCCCCTTGGTCGCGCAACCGGACCCATGGCCCTCTCCTGATCGTCGATACCTGCCCTGCCTATTGCAGGACGTCATTACCCCATTGTCCAAGTCAAAAAAAAAAAATACGGAGTGCAACTAATCTTGGGACCTCTATTGTCGTGTTCATTGAAATGCTGCTTAATTTCTGAACTTCTGTTCTATCAAGCAAAAGCAATTGTCACTGATATAGCAAATTTCAATAAACATTGATACGCACTTCTGACGTAGTACCGCGCGACGTTTCTACGTTGCTCTTTGTAAGAATTACCCGGCCTCTATTGCACTCCGTTTAAGCTGACCTCATAAACTGATATTGTGCTATAGAAAATAGGAGCACGCTCAGAGCTATTTGTTCGGCTGCGAACGGCCTTGCCAAATCGTTGGGTTTATATTGGTAGCGCGGAAAACAGAGAGCGGAATATAGTGGGGC